TTTTTGTATTAATTCATCAGTGGTGATACATACCACTAAAAATGGAGCACTAAGCCAGCTCTAATGAGCTGGCAGCGTAGGCAATTAAAAAAAAAGAAAAGAAAAAGAGCAAAACATCAAATCAATTAAAGATACAGTATATTTCGAGCTACTAAAACTCATTATTTTAGAGCTCTTAAATAATTTTCTTAATTCATTTCTATTTCCTTCCCACATCAATAATCTCTAGGTCTTGACCAAAAAGCCCTATATGAAAAGGATTTTTGTTTTCTTTTGTTGAAAAAAACAGCTCATAATACAAACTAGCATGACATCTTTTGCTCCAAATTCTCTTATTTCCCTATCTCATAATATTTACAATTATTAAATAATATTTTAAATTATCACTTAATCAAATGATTGTCAATTGACAATTTGCCACATATTATCTTACTTCTGAAAAAGGGGTGATTTAGAGCACTAAATTTGAAGTTTTAAAAATATCATTAATGATGTGGTAATGTAAAGAAAAAAAAACAAAAACAAAATAAAGGTCAAACTATCACATCAGTGGTAGGGTTTACATAATGTCACATCATTAATGATGCATTAGTGATGTTAAATTAGTGGTATGAAACATTTTTCTTTCTCAAATTACAATGAATCCTTTTATTCTAACCAATTATATTTGATTGGACATTACACGACAATGCGCAAGACCATCTAATATCTTTGGGGAGAGGGGATGACATACATTTATTAAATTAAAAAATTTATAGACATAGAATCTATCACACGCATTCATTTATAAAGGAATTTACATGTAGGTAATCTCAAAATTTAATTACAAATTTATAAAAAAAATTATAATTTTACTTTTTAATATTTATAATTTTTTATTAATTTAAACATATTTTTTACATATTCACTGTTGTGAAATTACTCCTAATTTATATGGAATTTGGGGTTATTTTATGGTGTTTTGAGAAGTTAGTAAAAAGTTGACTTTTTAATTTTTTTAGTTTATTTTATCTTTTTGTGAATACAAAAATATGAGAGATGATGTGACTTAAAATAGATAAAAAATTAAAAATTAACTCTTTTTTTATTTTTAAACTTCTCAAAAGACCCCTTTGTCTGAGTGAATTTTGTTTGGATGTAAGAAAAATGATGCAGACCACTAATTAGTAGTTGCTCTAATGATGTGGCAGTGGGTGGGACCCACTGCCACATATATTTTGTGTCTTAGTTTTGTTTTGTTTTGTTTTTTTTTTTTTTTTTTTTTCACTTCATTAATGATGATGTTAGTGGTAAAAATTTAGTAGTATGTAGCATTGTTGTTGGACGTAATGGTCCTCCTTAATTTGGCAAATCAGATGACAGCTGCCATCAACAGACAGATTGCACACACTGATTGACCTCTACAAGAGAAATTATGAGGGGAAATCACAGCACAGTGTAATCAGGGAAATTTTTTTTTTTACAAATGTGAAGATAACAGATATATATATATATATATATATTGTGTCTATTTTGTTGATAGAATGAAAATATAAAGATTAGATTGAAATTTTTTAAATGATGATATAGGTTCCGTTTGGTAAGAGTTAAACAGGGTTTTTTTTAGCTATTTTAGTCACAAAAAACAAAATAGGCTATTTTAGTTACAAAAAATAAAATATCACATTTAACTTATAATCATTACATTCTTCTCTCACAAAAAAGAGTCAAAAAAGTCAAAAAACTAAAAAAGTTCTTTCCAAACCAAACTTTTTAGCCTAGGCTAAAATAGCCAAAAAAACTAAAAGTCAAAAAGTCAACCCACTTCCCAAACGGAGGCATAATCTATTGTATTGATTTTTAATTTGAGGAGGTAAAATGAAAAATGTTGGTAGTTAAGGGAGATAATTTGTCCTTTTTTTTTTTTTTTTTTCCTTCTTGTCCTACTGTTGAGTAATTTGCCCAAATTATAATTTACTCTGGACCAAAAAAATGCCTGCGATGATCTAATTTGAATTTTATTGATTAAAATGATAAATTTATCATTTTTGTGTTTCTTTTAAGATGTAATATAATAAGGGGTTGTTTGGAGTGTCTTAAATAAGTGTATTTTTTTGTCTTTTTGGACTAAAAAATTGAGGTTGAAAATATGAATGTTTGGGTTAACTTTTTGACTTTTTATAAAAAAATGTGTAATAAAAAATTATAAAAATTGATTTGTAGGTAAGGAAAAAAATATAGATATTTGGATTAATGAGTTAACATATTATGAAAAAATGTATAATAAAAATTTGTAAAAATTGATTTGTAGGGAAAAATTCAAATTGGGAGTTGTGCAGTCGTAATTGTTGACTTTTGATGAATAGTATTAACTTTTTCACTTTTTAAATAACTTTTTGATTTATTGACTTTTTTACAAGTTCCCAAACTTAACCTAAGTATTTTATAATGAATAATGTGAAATAATATTCAAACACCATCAAATAATTACTCCGTTTACACTTAATTATTATTTGATAAATAATTTGTGAAATCTCTTATTTAAAATCATAGGGTATGTTTGGTTTGTATTTGAGAGATGTATTTTAGAGATAAAAAGTATGAAAAGTTGTTTGGTTTGATTTTTTTCAAAAGATGTTTTGAAAAATTATTTTGAGAGAGAGTTTTGAAAAAAGTGATTGATTTGATGTGTGTGTGAGAGAGATTTGTTTGGAAAACTTGTTTGGTTTACAAGTTTTGAGAAATTTTTTTGGAAAATTTTGGGTATGTTTGGTTTGTGTTTGAGAGATGTGTTTTAGAGATAAAAAGTACGAAAACATGTTTGGTTTGGTTTTTTTTAAAAGATGTTTTGGAAAATTATTTTGAGATAGAGTTTTGGAAAAAGTGATTGATTTGATGTGTGTGAGAGAGAGATTTGTTTGGAAAACTTGTTTGGTTTACAAGTTTTGGAAAATTTTTTTGGGAAAATTTGTTTGGTTTGGTTATTTTTGAAAACTTATTTGTAGAGAAAATTTCCCAAATTTTTTTCAGAAAATCAAACCAAACGAGCCCTTTGTTTGGTTTGATTACTTTTAAAAGCTTATTTGTAGAGAAAATTTTCCAAAAATTTTTCAAAAATACAAACCAAACGAACCCATAGCCTCCAAAGAAACACCAGATTTAGTAGAGCGTCCTACCCTTGTGGAACCCCATAAATGCAACATTTTTCCCCATGTATTTTTGTTTTGTTTTGTTTTGTTTTGTTTTTTTTTTTTTTGTGTGTATGAATAACATATTAAATTTTAAAATATTTTTATATTTTCTACTTTATGGGCAGTCTATAAACTTGTCATTAATATGAACCCTTAAATAATAAAACAAAAAAATAAAAATAAATAAAAAAAATTAGAAAAGAGGCTATTAAACATTAAGAATTATATAATCTCAAGGTATTGGCCTCACGGTCAAAACCTGAGGTTTGAAGTGTGTTCCCTTCAATATCTTAGGTTGAAATCTCTGAGAGGCTAATCCATAAAGGATTTTGTCCTAATTTTAATAGAGCCCCTCTCTAGTAGAGGGTAAGATTGGTCACTCGAATTAGTCTCACCCAAATTAATTGGTTTAATGAGTCAGATACCGAGTTACAAAAAAAACAAAAAATAGCAATCATTGGTTATGCTTGTATGAGAAATGCGTGTTAGACAATATATCATCAAAATTATAATTATTGCTTGTTTTTTAAAACAACAAATATGATAAAATCTCATGAATATAATTATTAGGTCAATTTGATTTTTTATTTATAATTTTATGTACGGGTGAAAAATATTTGTTGTCTTCCGTACTCTTTGCTACCAAGCCTAACTTGCTCCGATTGAACTTCGTTTCACTACGAACAAACAAAGATGAGCTATCCGGCAGGTGGGCTGCCGAAAAATCCCTCCGACAACCAAGTTAGCTTTCCTGGGAGAGAAGAGAAAATGTAGAGCACTGTAGAGAGAGAGTGGCTAAAGGTTGCTTACCCTCTAAGTTTGCTCACACCTCCTTTTCTAGGCTGGCCATGTAGTCCCAAATTGTGTGCCTACTGCCTCTGCTGTCCTTTGCTAGTCGTGTGGCTGTACTGCCCTCTCTGTTCCTTACACGTGCATATTTAAATACAGCCAAATAATGTTGGCTAAACTACCAAACAGTATTGACGCACATCCAGAGCAGTTTCCTCTGCATTGGTCCACATGGAATACATTGCTATTACTTGGGTTGCACCAAAGATATTGCCTCTGAACACTCCAATGCTAAGCTAATCTAGGCCAGTCTTCGAGTCATAGTCGCGCTAGGTCAATACTTTGGCGGCCTTCCCTCAGGCCGGTCAACCATGGACGAGTAGTCAATCATTTCGACTACATAGCGCGGCACTACGCCACGCCTAGTCTGGCCGATCTTGTGACGTTGCCATGACCTCCACAACTGTGGTGCTAAAATATGGCCCAGTCCAAGATCGGGGCCCATGCTAAGGTAGCCTAGCCAAGATAGCCCATCACAACATCAAACTCCATGTTGGCACAGTTCGGCCCAACATTACATTCCATGCTCTCTGTCACAACCCAACCCCATATTTCGTGTTGGTATAGTTTGGCCTACTGTTCGGCACAAATCTCCCTTTCATTTTACAAATAATCAACACACATAGACAAAAAAGCAAATCAATTTAATCATCGAAGTAAATCCCATAATAGACCCAAAGAACTAAATTAGACCAGTCTAATTCAAATAGAAATAAAAAAGAATCCAGTTCTATACAAAAAATAATGGTGTCTAATGTGCACGTAAAGTTTTTTTTGTGTGAATCTATGTATAGGTAAAAGAATTGATAAAATTCATCCTGTGACATATTATTTAAAAATAGAGAGCTAGTGGCTGAAAATGCATGCCTACCTAAAAAGGAACCAGCCAGTAGAACTATTTGATTTTTGTATTTGGCTTTTTGGACACCCATAAATCTTTAGTCACTAAACATCCAAGTCTCTCTATATAAAGGACTTTTAAGGATAACCTGAGAGCAAAGGAGTGGAATCATTCTCTGTAGTGAAAATATGGAAATAAAGCAAAGCTTGAACTTGAAGTACTTCTTAGGAGTTTTGCTACTCCTGAATATGTTTGCTTTTTCTATGGCAAACAAGACCATCCCTTCTTCTATTAACTGGGTTGTAAGTACTTAATTCACCATTCCTTTTTACCAACTATTTAATTTTCAGAATTCCCGTTTTTTTAGTGTACGAACACCACAATTTTCCTCAGTTCAACCATTTGCTCCATTCGGATATCAATTACTAAACAGGTTTGGTGAGTTAAATGGTTCAACCCGCACCCAATATTGCCTAACCTAGCAAAATACATTTATTAAAAGGACATGTTCAGATCGAATTGTTTTATTACCTAACCTGTTTTAATCTAATCAAAATCCGTGCAAAATCAACTGTTTGTTGCTTCTTCTTCTTCTTCTTCTTCTTCTTCTTCTTTATTTTTTTAACCATATAGGTGGAATATTAAATCTTAATTAATAAATTTTCTTTCAAGTTTATCTTTATATTGATTTTGTTGTTCAGATAACGGAAGCAAAATATGCGAGGCTGTGTAGCACAAAGAAGATTTTGACAGTAAATGGACTATTTCCAGGGCCTCCTTTGTATGTCCACAAAGGTGATAGAGTGATAGTAAATGTTCGAAATCAAGCTAAGTATAACATCACCATTCACTGGTACACTTCTCTCTCTCTCTCGTGCACACAGACATGAGTAAATATTATGTAGAACAATCACACCATCTTGTTAGATGTCACTGATAGTTGTGCAAATAGTCTTAATTCTTTTTCAACAAAAACCTTATAAAAAAGCTACATAAATGCATGTTAATATGGCACATATTTTTGTAGGCATGGAGTAAAGCAACCAAGAAATCCATGGTCAGATGGACCAGAATATGTGACGCAGTGCCCAATCAAACCAGGAGCAAGTTTTAGTTATCATATCATATTTTCAACAGAAGAAGGAACCTTGTGGTGGCATGCCCATAGTGACTGGTCTCGAGCGACGGTACATGGTCCTATTATTGTCTACCCAAAATTTGGTACCACTTACCCATTTCCCAAGCCTTATGCAGAGTTTCCCATTGTTTTGGGTATTTTCTCTCTCTTGCACTTTACACAAACAAATAATTTATCGTACATCTTATAAATTATTCACAATTATCATACATTTTGGATAGATTTTAAGGTAGTTTTGTCGAAGACTATTCATTGCAAAGTCCTAGTTAATTCGAATTTTGGGGGCAACTAAATGAGCTCTAAATGACTGTTTTGATTTCAAAGCTTCATATTTGTTTTTTTTTTCCCCCTCATATAATTTAAGATGTGGCACATAATTGTGTATATTATTTGCATTGTTTTTGCTTCACTGGCAGCATCATGGTTTAAAGGAGATGTGATGGAGATAATTCAAACTGCCCTTGAAACGGGAGCTGAACCCAACAAGTCGGACGCTTTCACTATCAACGGCCAGCCAGGCGATTTGTACAATTGTTCTAAACAAGGTATATGTATAAAAAAATGTTTCTTTAACTATTTACATAGTGGGTGTTTGGGAAGTGGATTTTTATGTAGGTTTTTTAGTTATAGGATACTACTGAAGAAAATTTTTTTGGTGTTTGGGAAGATAGTTGGGTTTTTTTGTGATTTGATGTGATGCTTGTGAGAGAAAAAGTGAAATGATTATGGGGTTGGATGTAATATTTTGTTTGGATTTATTTTTTTTTGTTTTGCAAAAAGTATGTCTTTTAGTGGAAAAAATCCAAAAAAATCCAGCACACAAACTTCCCAAACACCACCATAACATCCATGTAACACGGTCTATTTATCTATGTTGCAGGGACATTTAGAATACTGTTTGATTATGGCAAGACCTATCTTCTTCGTATCATCAATTCAATTATGAATGAAGAAGTGTTTTTCATGGTAGCTCATCATAATCTCAGAGTTGTAGGAATGGATGGTGCCTATGTCAAACCCTTTAAAACTAACTATATCATGATCACGCCTGGACAAGCCATGGATGTCTTAATCACTGCAAATCAGTCTCCAAGTCATTATTATATGGCTGCAAGAGCGTATGCAGGAGTGGTATATGATAACACCACCACAACCGCTATTGTCCAATACAGTGGAAACTACACAGCCCCATCAACACCTTTGTTTCCTAATCTTCCTAATTATACTGATATCAATGCAGCAACCAATTTTACTAAACGCCTTAGGGCCTTAGCAAGCAAGGAGCATCCAATTGACGTCCCAAAATCATTCAACACAGAACTCTTCATGACTATTTCTGTGGGCACACGTCCATGTGGTGATACTTCTTGTTCTGGACCCAATGGCACAAGGCTAGCAGCAAGCTTGACCAACATAAGTTACGAGCAGCCAGAGGTTGATATATTGCAAGCATACTACAGGAAAATTAAAGGGATTTACACACAAGATTTTCCAAGTAAGCCACATTATGTTTTTAACTATACAGCCGATGAGTTGCCTGATAATGTTTTGACGCCTACAAGGGGGACTAAGGTGAAAGTTTTGAAGTATAATTCTAATGTGCAAATAGTATTCCAGGGGACCAATGTCCTGAGTTCAGCTGAAAATCATCCAATGCATCTGCATGGGTTCAGTTTTTATGTAGTTGGGTCAGGTTTTGGGAATTTTGACAAGAAAACTGACCCGAAAGGGTTTAATTTGGTTGATCCACCTGAGTTGAACACTGTTGGGGTCCCTAAGAATGGATGGGCTGTCATAAGATTTAAAGCTGATAATCCAGGTATGTTTAGGGCACTTTTGTTATAATTTTCATTTAAAATTTTTGAATATAGAAATTAAAATAAAAAAAAAACTAACAAAATTTGCACTACAAATTGTTTCTAAAATATGTAAATAGGAAAAAAAAAATTTGACATGTGCTGCTAAAGTGGTTGTAATATAACAGCAAAAGTGGTGGCATGAATTCTTAAAATGATTTTGTTAACTTAACTTGTGCCTTTATGGCACATTTCAAGAAACTTAAAATAATTGTATATTCTACATGAAAAATATGTGTCATAAAGAATGTATAATATTTATTAGCATTCTTAATATGTGCCCTAATGGCACACATTATTATCCAGTCCATATAAAAATAATTTCGAAATATAATTCTATTTTTTATCTTAAAAGAAGAAAAACAAAAACAAAACTAACCACATTTTAATTTTTTTTTTAGGGGTGTGGTTCATGCATTGTCATTTAGAAAGACATACAAGTTGGGGCATGGATATGGTATTTATTGTAAAGAATGGCACCACCAAAGCAACAAGTCTGCTTCAAGCCCCCCCATACTTGAATCCTTGCTAATTCATCGGGCTGATGTCAAGGGAGATTATTATCTACTACTTTTTTTTAAGATGAAAAGAAAGGGGTTAAAGTACTCTTCCATATCCAGTTCAAAAAATAAAGTACTCTTCCATAATTGCTGTGGTGTATGATATATAAGATGAAGAAGACTGAAGAATGGGACTAGTCTATAGATTTAATTAAAAAAGGTGTGTATTGATTGTGATCCTGTAATTGTATTATATTCCACTGAAGTTTGCATACCAACAAACAAGGTGGTTACATATGTATATGCTTGGGTGATTTCTATTTAGTTCCAAATGTTGTTGCCTTCAATATAATTATTTCTTCGTGTGATTTCGATCATAATGATACTCTCTCGTAAATTATATTTACAATGATGGATCTTACATTTTAAAATGAAACTATTATGATAAAATATGTCATTTATATAATAACTCTATACAATTTTTACATTTCTATAGCATTACTAGCATATTGGTGACCATTAACGTACTAATTTGCTCGGTTAAAAAAAACATACTAATTTGTTCGAATTTTCAACGAATTTTTTTTTTTTTTAATTTCCATGGGGCCACTTATCAAATGGTGTTCAAATTCAAAGTATCTTTAAAGTGACGTTGATAGGTTAATGATAAATCCTTGAAAAAGTTGTACTATTCCTCAGTAATTTACTACTATTCCAATTTGAAACGAATTAAATGTTATATCTATCACCATCGTTTCTATTAAAATAACTTTGCAATATATTAAGATAAAGTAAGTTATACTTTTCACTCGTTTAATTTATTTTAAATTTTATTTTAATTTTAATTTTAAAAAAAATGGTTAAAATTTTATGATTTTTAACATGTGGTACTCATATGAGGAGTACACAGGAAAACAATTGGTGAATTAGACTTAGGTCTTGTTTGTGAAGAGATTATTTTAATAATTTTTTTATTTTTTATAAAAATATATGTAAAAAAGTAAAGAAAATGATGTAACAATTTATAGTAACTTTTTAATTTTTTGACTAAAATATGTAATTGTCAAATAAGACCTTAGAAAGGCTATCCTAAAGTTAAAGACTACAATTAATATTGTTTAAATTAAAATAATATGAACGAAAGTAAAATTTTTATTAAAGGGATGTACTACATATAATTTAAGGGACAGATCATGATAAAAACAAAATGAATAACTTTATATTTTTTGAGATATAACTAACAAAAAAAGAAGTTATAATCAAATACTACATAAAATATAACTAAATATTTCATGAGACATAACTAAAGATCTCATGAGTAATAAATATAATGTTGTCATAACTAAAGAATAAAATTGGTCATAATCAAAGAAGAAAATAACATAACTAATATACCCTATGCAAGAGGTGTATATAATAGAGTTTCCCATAATTTAATGTACTTCCTCCTAATGAGTAAATTATATTTTTTACTGTTGCTGACCATACTATTTGGGCTTGTAGATCTCACCATGTGTCTTGTTTCAATGATCCAAACTGCTAATCCTAATCCCCAAATTGAACCACATGCTAATCCTAATCCCCAAATATATTGTCAAGAATGTTGTGCATACATTTTTTTTTTCCCCCTGGTGGTGTTATCAGGCTGAATACTAGACTTTCCAAATTGCTTGAATACATGGAAGGCCCAAGTCTTAACTAATGGGCTTTAGCCATGTCAAGGCCCATTAAACCTTTCAAGACTTTTCAATATCCAAAGAAGAAATATGTATATAGATGATGTTTCAATAAAAAATGTCTTTTTGTTTTGGGAATTAATAAAATTAATTTACTCCCCGTGGGTGTTTGGAAAGGTACTATTTTAATAGGCTATTTTAATTTTTGATTATTTTAGTAAGTTAAAATTTTTGTAATTGAGAAGATGATTGGATTTTTTTGTAATTAGATGTGATGTTTGTGAGAGAAAAAATAAAATAATTATGAGTTTGATGTGACATCTTATCTTATTAGCTATTTTAACCTATTTTATCTTTTTAGGACTATTTTAACCAAAAAAAAAACTAAAAAACCTTCTTTCCAAACACTTCCAGTTTCAAGAATCTTTTGGCTCCACGATTTCCCTGTTTGATGAATGATTATTCTGATTTGGCAACTACATTTTTGGGAAGTTAGTTTTTTTTGTTAAAAAAAGGTCAAATGATCCCTCGTGTTTGGAGTGAATTGCCAGAGGCTATCAAGTATCAGTGCAAAAAGATTAACATATCCACAATTTTGTTCCAAAGGCAGAATGGCTTGATTCTCTACCAAGGATAAAATGGGGCATTTAAGACAAAAGGCAAAATAGATAGTTTTCTCTGCCACAAAACTATCTCCTTACATCTTTAAAATTTTAATTTCAATTTTATTTTTTTACAATTTTTATAATATCATTCTTAATTTCTTCACCTCCAACAATAATTCTTGAAATTGAAGTTCGGAGGCATCGATTTTTTGACCTCCACCAATTTTTTAAAACCTTGAAAAATTAGGGAAAAAAACAAAACATTCGCAATCTCATTTTCTTTTCTTCTTCCTTCCGCATTTTTTCTCAACAACCAAACAGCATCCAAAAAAAGTTTTAAAAAAAAATCAGAGACAATCAAGAAACTTGGGAACACAGTCAACATGCATCGAATGAATGAATTAAAGATACGAATGCGATGAAGATGGATCCAAAGCGAATCGAAGAGAGTTTTTCCTTGGTCAAGGTCATTAGGTCTCTCTTTTCTTACTTTCTCACTCTAAAAAAAAATCATATTTTAGAGTTTGAGAACACACTTGGCAAATTTTTCTCCGATCTTCTTCCCTGCACGTCAACTTTCCGAAGGTGTTTGTATAATATCATTGAGGGCATCGCATTGCACACTAGGCTCACACTTGGTTTGGTCTGTGAGTTGGAATTAGACGTGAAGAAATTTGTAAGGAGAAAATTGAAGGGTAGAGATGAGGAGGGTAAGAATGATATTATACTAATTGTAAAAAATTAAAATTTTAAGGATAAATTATGCAAATGGTCCTTGTAGTTTATTTATCCTTTCGTTTTGATCTTTGTTGTTTTAATTTGATTAATTTTGCCCTTTAATTTTACAGATTGTATCATTTAGTCCAATGAATAACGACGGTTAAGTTTGATCAAATTGAAATAACAGGGATCAGAATGAAAAAAAGATAAACTATATGAACTATCGCTGTAATTTGTTCAAATTTTAAACACGTAAAGAGATAATTTTGTGGTGTAAGTAGAATTATACAAAGGAAAATGTTATATGTTATTTAGATACTTCTAATATTATTCTTTGTTAAATCATATTGTGTCATGTGTTGGAAATATTTGTTTTGATAGAAATTTATAAATTGATTTATTTTTAATTTTAGTGTTACATTTTTCAACTTTAATTCAAAAAAAATTAATTTTTTAAATTTATCTAGACTAGACAGCGTTATTAAATTAAAAAAAAATAGAAAAAATTTAAAACTTTTTATAAATCGCAAGTCTAAATTTTACTTTCCCTCAATAATCCAAATTTAAATCCGATCAAAGTCTGACCTAATATTGGATAGATTAATGAATCTTGTGACCAAATGAATAAATTTAGAGCCTTAATTTTTTTTTTTTTAAAGAATACAAATATAACATCATCTAATGCTTAAAATTGAACCTTTCAAATTCAGAAGAAAAAAGGCATTATTTTTAAAAATAATGGGCACATTTGATGAGCATAGGCAATGGGTCAGCTTGGCCCAACCTATGAGTGGCCGGACAGCCATTAGATTCAAGACGACTAGGGACTTTTATTTTATGAGATTGAGGCATAGGATTGGAATTTTTTTTTTTTTTTAATTTGGTGATTCTATTTACATATCATTAATCTTCTCAGTATATACTATTATTTAATTCACATTAATTATAAATTTTTCACTTAACATACACTATAATATTACTCTTTGAACATAACTCACACAACACAATATACACTCTAACACAAGATGATATACATACTATCAAAGTTGAAAAGACAATCATATCTAAAATATAATTCACGGTAATTTTAGATTCATGTGTCTCTCTTCCCCTCCTATTTGTGTTAAATTTATGAAAGTAACATGAGAGCAAATGGCGAGAACCAAGCAATAGGTTGAAAGTTTACGACGACGAAGCAATCGGTGTAGTATTCTGCAAAAATTTAAACATAAAAATAGTTTTTTTTTTATTGTTCATAAATATAGTGTTGAAAAAACTTAATATGTTCACAAATTTATATTCAAACAAAACTAAAATGTTCAATTTTTTGTGTATAAACGTTTAATACCTGTTTTAACTATAATATTATGAACAAAATGATTATGTACCGAAAGGATTGATAGTGTGTAAATAAAATCATCTTTTTTCTTTTTGGATAAAAGACAATTTTAGTCCTTAAAGTATGTATTCTTTGTCATTTTAATTCCTTAAATTTCAATTTTTTTATTTTGGTCCTCAAAGTTGTCAATTTGAATCAATTTGGTTCCAAATTTAATGTTCGTTAACATAAATATGAATAAAAGACAGTTTTAGTCCCTAAAGTATGCATTTATTATCATTTTAGTCCATCAAATTTTAAATTTTGTCATTTTGGTCCTCAAAGTTGTCAAACTGCATACTTTAGAGACTAAAATTGTCTTTTATTTTATTTTTTTTCCGAAGTTATATTTCTTTGATGGACAAAAATAGATACATCCAACAACCGTAACCCGCAACATACTACGACCACCAAGGTTCAGTGTTCCAAACACGAACACTTGACATCCAACAACCGTAACCCGCAACATACTACGACCACCAACCAACAACCATAACTACAACATACTATGGCCACCAACCAATAAACATACTCGCAACATATTGCAGCCAACTACAATAGAGACAAACCCAAATCTCCATAGAGGAGGAAAAAAAAGCCTCCACAAAGGAAGGAAAAAACAAGAAAACAAAATACAAAAAGCACACAAAAAATCATCAGAAAACTAGATTCACACGATCCGTAGCGTAGGATCGACAAGCGACTATGGAGTCAACCTTAGATCTGCAGCCCATGGAAGCGGTGAAAGCCTGAATGGTAAAAAGCCTAAGATTACAGGGTAAACGATCATATCTGAGAAAAAAAAAATCACACACGTAGATCGAAAAGAAAGAAAAGGGCGAGGGGGATCAGATGTCACCACCCCTCACTTCTCTGCCATGACAGCAAGAGAAAACCCTAGAGTTTGTAGAGAGAGAGGCTCTGGTTTAAAGAGAGAGAGAGATGTGGGAGAGAGACACAGAGAGAGAGAGAAAAGTTTCCTTGCTTACCATGTTTAA